GGGGGGGGGGGGGGGGAGAAGCACTCCACTTTTTCAAACAGGCGCCGTTTGCTTCCAGTTATTTATCCAAATAAATAAAGACCCAGAAAAGATTTGCTCCAGGCATTTTCAAATCTGATTCTGTAAGGAATACTGTGATCAAAATGAATTCGATTCATTCATTTCAAGCTGTCTCTCCTACCTGCCTACCCTCACAACTGGCCCACTTAAAATGTCCATGAATAATGAAATGTGACTAAATAAGTTTGAGGAATTTTAAATCACAGGCACAGACATAAATCAAAAGAACAGGCTGTCTTTCAAGCAAGTTATCGCTATGTAGAGCAAACCCATGGAAATGAATGCATAGGCACTTATAGCCACAACACCTTGCTGCCCCATTCATTTCAGTGGGATTACTGAATAAACCCATTTACTGTGGGTTACTGTGGAATTACTGTGGAATAAACCCATTGAAATGAACTAGATTTCACTTTGGCGGCAACTCACGGAAGTCCTATGCGCAACGGCCGCCAGGAATAAACCAAATCAATCAATGAGGTTTCGGTTCAGTTGCAGTGAGCAAAGGTCCCATTCATTTCAATGGATTTATCATGTAGTTAACCCATTAATACTACACAGAGCAAACCCACTGAAATGAACCGGACTTCAGGCTCTTACGCAGGATGTCTATGCCAAGGAATCCATTCAAGAGTCAATTCGGATTAAGGCTTCTCTCTGCCCCACCCCAAAACGCCCTGAAGGTTATTTTATACTCAGTCGTGGTGTAGCCAATTTATTTATTTTAGGACTGGTGGGGTTTTAATGTTTGTAAACAACCAAGAGAGCCCCTGGGGCTATTGGGGTGGTATATAAATGCAATCAATCAATCAACAAACGGAGCCAAATTGCCCAAGCAAGGCTACTAAACGCCACACCGGAGGACAACCAGAAATAAACTGGGAGTCGGGAATGGCAGAATTGGCTACTTTTCACCAGACTTTTCCAGATTTCTTCCAGCTTGTCAGGCAAATCGTGGGAACGCACATACAAGTGTTCCCATAAAAAACAAACGCACATCTTTGTATTCGATCTACCATTCATAGTAATATCAATTAATGTCAAGGACTTCTCCAGGAACTGAGTACAGAAATGAACTCTTCTTTATGCAAAAAGGGAAATTAGAAGTGACAACGGATGAATCAATATAAAGGGCAGCTTATTCGTAACAAAACAACCGTGCCAAGAGCGCCTCTTCTCCCAAACCCTTCGATTTTATCCATACTCTCCCGCAATAACGCAGTTAGATCGGTGGAAATCGCCAGCGCTGTGTACTCCCGAGGGCGAGCGTGAAATCCGGGCACTAAGCTGAACTCCCTAGGAAAGGAGCAGATCCAACCCCCACTACAGGATCCCCGTCCCGGCAACGTTACGAAATGCAATTCACCCCGTGAGAAGAGGCTGCGTGAATCACACGGGAAATCACATTTCGCTTCTGACTCCGCTTCTGTTATAATTTTCTTAATTAAAAAAAAGAACTGGGGGGGGGGGAGGTTCAAATCAAACTGTTTTTCCATCTAACTTTCCAAAATGTTCAAACTCCAAAAAGTAGAAAAATCCGAGAATTATTCCAAGCAGATTAGGAATTCCCCTTCTCCCTTTTCACAACAGATTTTTAAAAACATGGAGGGGTTTTGGAACTATATTTTCTAAACAGATTTGAAGAAACAGGCGGGAAGAAATTAAGCAGCGGGTTATTCTTCCCGAAGTCACTTTATCTGGGAACTATTGGAGGTCAAAGGAAAATGTGTTACTATCATATAAAATTAATATATAGGATTGAAACGGATTCCCCGAATGATTCTGCTGCCTCCACCAAGAATTCTAACGACTGGACAGAAAGCGCTCGTACTTTTAAGTGCTTTAAATGCGATCACAGGAAAGGGTTAGGAAAGAATAAAATGATGCAGATAATGTGAATTTAAAAGGCAGCGTAAATTCACTTCGTTTAGGAACAGGGTGCGGGGGAAAGGCCCTTATATTTGAAATCCCTAAAAGTTTCTGAACTTTTCTCCACCCAGCCTGAAAACACAGGAGAGTTTCTTTTTTGGCCGAGTAGGGGATATATGCCGGAAAGGCTTCACTCCTGTTTGAAGCCGAATCTCCCCAGGCCTGTAGGTGTTCGAGACCGTAATATCTCCATCCTAAAAATACTTACGGGGGGGGGGGGTTAAAGCCCCATTAGATACAACAAAACAGAATCAAGGCTGCAGGGTTAAAATAACATTTAAAACCAACAAAGAAAACTGAAGATAAAGCAGAAGAAACGAAAAGAATGCAGTTCTCTTTCCAAAGAGAACACAGAAATAATTCGCTCTAATCCGTATCATTACGCCGACGCAGCCAAATAAGACAACCGGAATAATATTACCGCATGCATATGAACGCTCACAGAAGAAAGGTCTACCCGGCACAGTTGAAAAACAACGTCGGGAAATAATAATCCAACATTAATGATCGTAATTGGTTTGATCCACACAATTTTAAGAACTTCCAGGATTGATACATCAGTTTCGTTGAGATCAAATGTACACAAGAGTGTAATCCGATACATGTTTAGACAGGAAAAAATTGCCGACAGCTTCGATAGGGCCAGATCTCATTCGTCTAAACACGAATAAACGCGCCCCTCTTGTTGTTTCGCTCTTTAAATTTTAATCTATGGACACAGAATGAGTTTTCGTCAAGAGGTTTGCCAAAACTGGAAGGAATTAGTGGCGGAGGAATATCAATCACAGGCGTGCGATCCTACGCTTTTTGGGGGGCAGAAAAAGGGTCCCGCAAGACCGGCTCACAGCCCGACTAGAGGGTCGCGCTTTCCGAAAGGCCTTCCCCGGTCGGAAAAGCGCGCCCGACCCACCGGCGCCCTCAGCTCCTTCCTTCGTTGCGCCTCCAATCTTTCTCCCGTTCCAACGCGAAGGGGGTGCGGAAGGGGAGCCGAGGGCAGCACCGCAGAAGAGAAATCCGTGCAAGAGAAACGGGGAAGC